ATTGAACAGTGAACAGGATATTACTGATAAGTTTCTCATGGGCCCCTATGAGAAACTAGATCTTGGTTACCGTTAGACTATTTTTATCAAGTGCACTATGTTACGTTGCAACAATTGTTGTGTATTTCTCATGAAAGGTTGTATAGACATTCAAGTTTAATGAACAACTATAATGACTTTTCTAAACTTTATAGAATTCTTAGTTTCTGAATTGGCAGACTCTGCATAAAAAGTTTGCAAAATCAAATATGCAGAACTATCTGCTATGATGACCCCTTATGACTAACTGAACAACTGAATATATGTGTTTTACATTATAGAATTTTTAGTTCCTGAATAAATTTTATGGTATGAAATAGTAACAATTATATGCTAACTGATGAAGGTATGTTTGTGGTTTCTGAAACATCAGAAAAGGACCCTGACTTCTGTAATTGTTCAGATTAACTCCTCTGAGTGTGACTTTACAGATGGAAATGAGTGGCTAACAGACAACATTATGTTATCTTGTTTTTAATATTTTTTACTGACCTCATGCGTCCATCAAATCTGTTGGATGAAATGGGTTTTCTCACCTCATATGGTGGTTGTTAGTAGTTTTTATTTATCACAAAACAGGCAGGCACAATGTTCACAGAGATCACGTTTCTCTTTGTGACTAAGCACCAAAACACGGGCCGAGTGATTGTTTGACCCATCCTGTATAATTTATGGTAGAGATGGATTAATAGAAGCCCTCCTGGAAAGCCACTGAGCAGCAGATCAGCTAAAAGACTCCTGTGCCAACAAATCTCCAGCACTCAGCTGGTTCCAAATAGGGCGTGTTGGCACCCACACAAACAGACACTCACTCACACACCCCCACTCAAACACCAACAACACAGTGAGCCAGCACAGGCCTAATCGTGGTTGTCCTGCTAAGGGCCTGGCAGATGGAAATGCTGTGCCTGTTAAAGGATCAGGCTGTGGGCTACAGATCAGAAATAACATATGAGACTAGCAGTTTTAAGTTGCGACACTGGCTCTGAGTGTGTCTGTGTGTTTGCGTGTGTGTGCGCATGTTGGTGATATTCTTTAAAGTCCATCCTTGTATGAAGCCAAGTTATGAACAAAGTGGAAATTCATTCATAAGTGTGTGTGTATACGTGCATCATTAGGAGAAAGTCAAAGATTATTCCAAAGCAGCTGTTATAGTGTAGATGCTGGGGTGGGGTGGGGGCTCCTTTGTCTGTATTTGATGGTCTGTGTAATATTAGTAGGTTGATTTTAGGGTTTTCATATTACAGGGATTTCAAAGAGAAGGGTTAATTTGCTGGCAAGGTACTGTTCTGTTTCTTCAGCTCTGTCAGCCACTGTCTGTACTCTTTGCAATATAAAGCGCACCTATCAAATGAAATTAATATACTATTATTATGCTGCATTATACTATGAATGTGTTACTAAACGTAAAGTTATATATAAACAATAAATAGTATTTTCCAGCAAGCAATAGCTCATACTGCTGAAGCTTACAGATCCAATAGAAATGGTTGAAAGAGTCCTTACAGTGCATGTGAAGTTAACCTCTGTAACCATAAAGACTGATAACAAATAATACATGAATAATTTTTCAGCTGAAATAAAAATACATGTTTTACTAAGTATAATGGTGTGTAAAGTAATTCTGCCAAACTACAGGTCGGTTCATGTGTCAGCTTCTCTTTTCTAGAGAAAATAAATAATTTAATTCAGTTTCATTTTTATAGCGTCAAATCACATGAACAGTCGCCTTGAGGCGTTTCATATTGTAAGGTATATAGGTATATAATAATAACGACAATAATGAAGAAGTAGTTTTACTGCAGGTTTTACAATCCCGCATAAACACAAAATAAACTCCATTATTCTGATTCTTTGTGACAGATTTCCAGTTCATTGGGAAACTATGTCAATTAGCTGTTTGGTTTTGCATGAATAAAAAACATAATTAGCCCTGCGTATTGTGGCTCATCAGCAAATAAAGGTGCTCACGTGGGACTGCTGGCAAGTTTCTTTCATTACTCCATTAACCTTTAGTAAATTCTTTGTCTCTAGTAGTTATTTAAAGAGAAAATTCTCTTCAGCATTCAATTCAGTTGACTTCAGCTTTTTGTCACTTCAGACAAAGTCGACATATTTAAATGAGGTCTTCTACATTAAATGACCCCAGACTTTTTACATTTACATCACATCTTGTTTTGAGTAATATTGTCACATTTTTAAGGACTCATAATAATAAATAACAAATCCTACTACCTACTCCACACCACTACTACTACTATCTAGCAGAAAGCAGTAAATACTGTATTTGCAGATAAAACAGTGTGATTATAGATCTGGTTATGGTCAGAGGGAGGAAATGATTGCAAATCGCAGTGTGACTACATCCATGCTTGCAACGAGGATCCATCTGGCACAGCAAGGATCACTCAATAAATTTTCATAATCCTTTACTGAGTGCAAAATAAGTATGTGACATGGCTCTGAGGTCTGCAGTGACATTAAGAATTCAGAGTAGATGGTGGTGGTGTTAATCCATGCATTAGAGTCTACGGCCAGAAATGTCCCAATGTGACCCCAAACCAGCGCATGCCAACTAATTCCTACATAATCAATATTTATTCTGTAGACATATGATATATGATTCATGCTTTGTGGTTTTAAGTGCCAGTTAAAAAACTGTAACTGCAGCCTTGGTCAATCCTTAAGTCTTGAATGTGTCTGATGCACATGTTAAATCATCATTACATAAAGTACACCATGCCTATTTCTACATTTCGGCATGACAACTCACAATTCAGTGGACAGGAATGGAATTTTCAGATGTGAAATGTCCTTGATGAGGGTCTCGTGACATTAAAAAGTCAGCTGGGAACAGATTTGAGTTGACACATAATTAGTTTGTATTAATTTCAGCATTTTACTGGTAGCTTCCTTGAAAATGCATTGCGGCTGCTGCCACACACAAAATATAAATACAGGCCATTTACACCAATTAATTTTCATGAGGAGCAGAACAAGGTGAACTGCTTTTGGTCACAAACTGAACCTGCCTAATTCATTAAGTCGCATGAATGTTTCTCCCACTGTCTGGTGTGAGAATTCAGAAGAGGACAGTTTGTCCAGCCACAGTGAGAAAGTATTTCTGATGAACTAACAACCCAAACCGTGCTTCCCAGACCGTTTTTCTTTGAACCTTAAAAAAAGGCTTACACATTAGAGGTATATTTAACAAAGACAAGACCAACTGTACACTCCTTAAGGAGAAAGAAACTTTTCTATATCCAACAACAAGAAGTTCCTCAGTGTATAGAAAACATGTCTAACTGCGTGTATCAGGACTGGGATGGAAGTGCTTCAAAACTTCCCTTAGAATTCTCCAGTTTTTATGTTTTCAATATCAAACTGCACGCAGTCATGAGCCAAATACAGCCATATGCACACAACAGAAGTAACTCTTAATAGCAAAATCGTCTAATTTAACTTTGCAAAAAGTAACAACTTGTCATCCCAAAAGGTTGATTCTTTCTATCTGGACCTAGCGTGGAAAGCGAAGAAATCATCACTTATCCAAGTGACTTCTTCAGTCTCAGCTGACTGCAGGTTTCCCCAACTTTATAAACAGTACATTTGCATAATGACTGAAACCAGCCCACTGAATGAACAAAGGGCTGTGAGGTCAGTTCCTTGATCATTAATATATAAATTGTCACGACCATTAATCAACGACCACTGATGAAAACCCACTGAAACGTTTCTCCCACTGAGAACGTCCAGAATGAACAGAATCAACCTTTTGGGCTTTACCTACCTGGATAATTAAGCAAGCATCAAGACAACAAATTGTCATATTTTTGCATTTACCAGAACCAAGGAGCAGACTCAGACCACAGTTAAGAGGTTCAAAAGATTTATTCACAGAACAGAAAAGATTAACGATACGCAAGTGTAATGGGGAACTGGGAATGGTGCTGTCAGACAAACTCTGGAGGTTTATGAAAGTAGGGAAATAGATAGCGAAACTGCAACTGCAGTTGATCTGTGGATTTAAAAATTTCAAACTGTGGAAAACCAAGAATTATGGGAGGGTGAGAGAAAAACAAAAAACGAGTTCTAGGGCGAGCAAAGAGATTCCCAAATGTTGACTGAATTGCTCATCCATCGAGCAGGTCCATGGTTGCCAGTGCAGTCTTGAGATCCCTTCCCAGGCGCTTAAATCCTAATTCCTACCTTGCCTCAGGTGACCTCAATAGGTCACATGATGGGGTAGGGCAAGGTCCTACAGTCGCTTCACCCTTTAGCCCTGGTGATGGTAATGACCCACCACTGGCTCATCTTACATGTTCAGTGGGTCAGTGAACCTCAGGAGTAACTCCAAAGAGAACAACCCACACTAGGGGTTAAATACCCGGTACTCCCTATGATTTGTTTGAAGGACTGAAGAAGCCTCTCGGGTGATAGATGAAACAGCTACACTAACCTAAAAGGTCCAGTTGGCTTTTTTAAAATTCTCTGAACTGAACCTGTCAGCAGCTGGCTGCATCATCAGTGTTTTGAAAGTGACCAGTCACATTTGGACCTTCTAAAGGTTAGACTGATTTCTGTGACCAGAATGATCAGAATGTAGCTTTGAGAGCAGAGTTGCCTGTGAGTGCATGATGCAGCGCACACCAAGCACAGAACCTTGCATGTGTGATGGCTCTTTTGTTATCCAGTTATCCAAGTTGTTACTTACATCACTCCATAAATAATTCTCATTCTTAAATAATTTCTGATAAAAGCATATTTAATACGAGCATCCGGTGAGCCGCACAACAGCATTAGTGGTTCTGTTGTTTCATCTTTTAAATTTCAGATTTCATTCTAGAAAAACAGATGTCCTGTCAAGCAAAATATCATATATGATAAATGTTTATTAGAGCTGCCAATGAAAATATTTAGCCTTGTGTTTGTTTAACTGATTCTGTGTGTTTCCCCACCAGGCCCTCCGTTTATTATATCACCACCGGAGAACATTACAGTGAACATCTCACAGGACGCCTTCTTCACCTGCCAGGCAGAGGCCTACCCTCGCAACCTAACCTACACATGGTTCTGGGAAGAGGACAACGTCTTCTTCAAGAAGTAAAGTTATGATCGGGTTCATTACTGTTTGCTCTATCACTCACCTACTTGTACAGTCTGTGCTGTGTTGTTGTTGTGGTGATATTCAGCACAACAACTTCTTAAATTGACTTGCAACAGACTCATTGTCACCTCTCAGTCGTAAAAGGCCAACGCTGTGTCACCTTGCCGGGCAGGCGGGCAGCATGGGTAGCCGAGTTTGTAAATACAATAAATCGTAGGCCATGTAGAATTTTGAAATTCACAACATAGGTGCATATAATCTCAGATGAGTTTAAAACTTAGTGACCTTGAGCTAACAGTCAAGGTCAGAGGTCAAGTTTTCTGAAAAACTTGTGAATCCAGAACTTTCACATTCATGCCATAGGTGCATCTACCAGCGATCAAGAGTTGTGTATGGAGGTGTCTAAGTTAGATGAAAAGGTAGAAGTAATAGATGGTCAAAAGCTAGCATGAAAGTTAGAGAGGAAATACCTCCTTCTTTTAACTGAGCAGCTAAACACGTCCGCATCTTTGAGCAGAATTTAACGTGACTTTTTGACTACGCTCTTCTCAAAGATAACCCTTTAAGATTAGGAGATTTAAGGTTTTAGGCATTAGACATGAAAATATTTGATACCTTTGCATTGCAGAACTAAAACCCCTTACTCTATGCTCAGTGGATAAATAATGAATAACTACCAAAACAACAGGCTAGTGTTTTCTCATGTCACGCTTGTACATGACAGCTTTCATAACATAGCAGTAGAATTCTTCAATAATTGATGAAACTGATTATTTATTAAGAGATTTACTCAGAGGCGAGTGTGCCTTGTGCCTGTAATTAAACAAGGCTTCAATGACGAAGTAAGTTTTACAATCCAGCAGCATTTTAGCTTGTGAGAAGGCTGAGCACTTGTCTTTCACATCGTTAAACTTTTGAACTCGCTGCTGTTTTCTAACAGTATTGTCACTTCCTGTGGTGCATTAGATTATAGATAGATAGATATTACTGCTCCAGCACTTATTTTTGTAACTGCCTTCTCACACCATAAAAATTCGTTGTTGTGAAATTCAGAAAAGTTTGTATTTTATGTCCAACAGCTTTAGTTTTAAGACACCCATGACTCATGCAAATATTTTTATTTATTTCTATAACTACGTGTACAGATCATTAACCTCCTAGGACCTGGCGTCCACATATGTGGACGTCACATTTTGGGTTATTTAGACCAAAACACTAAATTTTGCTCTACAAGGCCCTGATATCCACTTACGAGGACATTATACTGCTACTGTGCTATCAAAATTTTAAACGAATATCCTCATATGTGGCTCTGATTTTTCATAAAAACAAAAATAAGGTAAAAAAAAAATCTCCTAATTCTTTGTTTTTACATTCATCGGGCCCCAATGTGCCCAAATATCAAAGAGAAATTAAAATTGCATGCCGTGGAAGAGTTCGGGTCTTATGAGGTTATAGGACAAAAAGTATATGAGAAAACTTACATGAGTATACAGACAGACGTATCTGTGGCCAAAGGTTCATTTTAGATTGCTTGAAGTTAAGTCAGGTTTATAATTCACATTCCCACTTGCATCACATTACATCAAAACTGCTTTAGTGCACTGTTTTTGAAGAAGACAGAGTTTACAGGGGTAAAGGCAGTACTATTACCATTAAAAGCCTGATCACATTTTTCAGTTTTCTGACGTAGTGTGGAGCCTTCCTTATTTTTCAGAGGAATTATAGGTTAAGACTAAAACAAGTCTCCTCATTTGCTGTTGAAAAGTTATTTAACACTTTGAAGATAGTATCCTAACCTTATTCAGTCAGAATATGGGTTCTTAGCTTTTCTCTGCAAGTCTTTGCAATCAGAATAAGAGAAAATAGACATTTGAACTAATATGAATACAAAAACTCTTATTTACATAGAAATCCTTGTTAGAAATAGAAATAAAAAAATTGACAAGTGCAGCTGATGGTGTGTTCTCTAATGGTGTTTGTCACAAACAGCATTGCAGGTTTAAAAAAAAAAAGAGTATTGCAAATCTGTACAAACCATAAGACTTCTGCAACAATTTCCTTTTGACAGGCAGGACCAAAGTAATGATGTTCAGCCATAATACACAATGCCAAGAAGAAAACTACACACAGCACATCGGTACTATCTGTAAGCATGGTGGTGGAGATTGTTGATTTGGGCCTGTTTTGTTTAGCCACAGTTTTGCGTGATGATATCTTACAGTCACTGAGTTGACTAGAATAAACTCTGTGTACCAAAGTATTCTGGAATCAAATGATAAGACATGCAAAAAATGTTTGTTTCCATTTTTTATTTGGACACAAGAGCTTTTACAAATGCAATATCAAGTTTTACTTTAAAAGCTTTATGCGTACTAGATAGCCCAGAAGTTGGATAACCAAAAGCAGAATGACATTTAAATCTACCTTGTTGGTTTCTTTCCTGTCCCATCCTGTCATGTACTGTGTGTGGAAGGCAGGATTGGACCCAAACACAGTCCCACAGACAAAGATTTAAACACAAAAAACCTCAGCATTATTGCTGGAACAAGTTAATACAGAACTGAACTGTAAAACCTAGGAACGAACTATGAACAGAACACAGTGTGAGGGAGATTACGACAACGAGCATAGGAAGACACAGACACCAAATACAAGAGGAAACACGGCTGGCGCTAATTAAACGGACGAAACGGGGAAGAGCAAAACAGAACACACACCGATGAGAGACTATGGCTGTGTCCCAATTCAGGGTCTGCACGCTTGAAGTACGCGCACTACGCGTACTACGTACGGTGCGTACTATAAGTACGAGAAGTGCGGAAGTGAGAGGCTTGTGAAATGGGACGGTCTAGCCTTCGTCGCGCTGTTCAGGTTGCCTAGCAACCATGATACTAACCGCGAGACACGTTACATACAGCTTTGTTTGACAGAAATGAAGGAGAAACAAATGTTTTGTTAGTCATGCATTTTCGTCATGACATCACTTTGATTAGTTGAGTATCTGAGGCTGAGACCATGGGACCATAAAACATGATTGTTGGGCTTCATTTCTGTGCTGAGCAGTCATTTAAGATTAGTTAGTAAATAACAATTAGTTGTTCATGAGACTAAAATCATCCCACTGT